CAGCAAGTGGCCAGTGCTGGGTCCACATAGGATATGTGAGCACCGGAAGTGCAAACTGGTTGGTAGCAAGGACGCGATTATAATCAGATAGTGGGCTTGTCCAGATCACAGATAGCCTACTCAAATACTCCTTTGCTGCTTCTGTAAGTACTTGCTTCTCGTCTTGTAAAATGGTCTCTTATTATTATTATTATTATTATTATTATTATTATTATTATTATTAGTAAAGTTGTTATTTTGTGTCATGTATTTGGATATTTTAATAACAAAAAACATTTGACTAATTTATTAATTGAAGGTAATAAATTTACAATGTGGATATATAGAGGTTACTTCATGGTTAGTGAGCGCGTACGGTTTTTATTCACGAGTTGTGAAGAATCAAACGAACGAGCGAGTCTTCTAGCGAGTGAGTTTGATTCTACACAACGAGTGAAAAAAAACCGCACAAGCGAACTAACCATGATGTAATTTATTTATTTTATAAGTTCTCAGATATTACAAGTAAAGATTTTTTGAACTTGGAGTTGAGAGAAAAATTTATTGAACCTCGAACAATTGGTTAACTGAAATAGAAATGTCTCTTTCTAATAGTGTGATAAACTTGTAAATATAAGTATACTTAGATCAGATTCGTGTACTTGTTACTTTCTGCATGAAGTGAAAAATATCGTATAGCCAATCACAGTGCTGATACGATGTTCTTCACTAGTGAAGAAAAACGTATAGCCAATAGAATCGCTTCTCGTTTTTGTGATATGATTTTTGTCAAATAGCTTGCGAACATGTAAATCTCAGTACCTATATAATAAAATTAAGTTAGTTGAACACTGTAATAAAAACGGATGCTTGTGATTGACGATGTGTTCGTTCTTTCAACAAGAAAAGAAAAAAGATTTACAGACCAGAAACGGGGCGTGGATCCAGGAATCTGAGAAATGGGGGTCCGTATAGTCTCCCCCACAGCCGTTTTCAGTGTCGTCACGCAAAGCTTTCTCCCCTGAGTAGCTACCCAGGGGAGAAAGCGTTGCGTGACGACACTGAAAACGGCTGTGGGGGAGACTAGGGTCCGTAGGAATCTGGCCGTAAACTATGGAAAATAACCCAGAGAAACCGTGCTCTAAGTATAGTGGTGGCCTCTCAACAATGTGTCCCGGGTTTGATTCCCAGTCCGGGTGTAACCTCACTTCCTTAGTTCCATCACGGTGCAATTCGTTTTCAAACTCAGCTTTTGAAAATGTTGTACTTTTGCCTTAAAACTGTCACTAAAAGTCAGTTCGGGACCTGGGTCCCATCCGCCTGTTGTGATGACATCACTGCGAGGGCTTGTGTGATTCTCGCAGTTAGTTGAAGTGTGTATTCTTTGTTGTAGTTTTTATTCTTCAAAGCCAATATTTTTCGTATTAATAATGGTGGAAATTGTGAAAACTTTATTTAACGTCAAGGAAACTAGAACTTAGCTCGGCATGGCCGTAACTAGGGGCCTTGAGTTGCAAGGTGTTTGTACAGGGAATTGAAATGGAACTTGAACTATCTACACTAGCAGCCCTCTTGGTATAAAATCCCAGGGGCGGATCCAGGATTTTTTCAAAGGGGGGGTTGTAGCATTGATTAAGGTACTTGTTTGGCGGGAAAGTAGCACAGGGCTCCCAAACGGAAGTAGTCTTATGATAATGATTATTTGCTGCAGGCGGGCATGGTTGTTTCAGGTCCCACACACGGCGTATAGAAAAAGAAGCGAGCGAAATGTGTTCGGCACCCCTGTTTTAATAAAACTCGCGATGCTGTTGGTGTTGTCATAAAAAAATAAATAAAAATAAATCACGATGGCTCTCATAGGGGGGGGGATTGCAACCCCCAAAACCCACCCCTAGATCCGCCACTGAATCCCGAGAATTTGCAAACAAACCAACAAACAATTAAAATTGTAAATGAGTCAGCGGACCCTCAGCTCTTGTGGCGGGAAGTGGTGAACGTGTACCCCTCTTGGTTATACGCGGTCACTTAACTTTTACATATCTTTACACTGAATGAATCCTCTTAGCTAATCTATGTCAGGCCACGGGATAAACTCACAAACACACTCACAGATCGCCGTCTCGGGACGACACTATAAAACACACCGTTTCTCCAGTCAAAAATCAAACTCAGACAATTTCATTTCAGGATTGGGCTCCCTGTGTTGTGTCGAGCAACGCCTGCCGTTTTGTGTATTTTGGCGCTATTTTATACAATTCTCCAGTCATTCGTCTAGTCATTCGTTGAACGTGTCGTTGTAGAGCGTTGGTATTTCATTGATTTTCCACCAAAGATCAGGCTGTTTTCTGGTCAACTGGTACGTTAGGTAAGTCAGTATTGATGTGTTATGATGTAACGGCTGATGTGAACAGAGTTTAGAGGTTCGTTAATGTCTCGTTATTGAAATATAGAATACAATACGGTAAACAATCGACTTCACACACTTGATTCATTGAAAGACATCGCATTAGAATAATAAAAATATCTAGTTATTTATGATTTATTCTACAAACTACTCCTCACCTTGTGCCATCACTTCCTGTACTCATATTAAGCGTGCAAAATGTGGCGCATATTTGGTCATTTAGTAGAAGCTTGAACATCTAATTTCGCTGTTCGTAGATCAGTCAACCATGGCAGAGGAAGACGCAGTAGACCCAGATTGGTGTGGTTATGAATGTAAGTCAGGACAGATTCTGTTCTACTATAACAAGAGAACAGGAGAACACAGATGGGAAGGTGGTGATTATGTAAGTAAAATATTAAACAATACTGGTTGCAAGGCGATGGGAGGAGAGGGGTTGCTAGGGAACAAAGTCAGTTAAGCAATATTTATATGGCATATATACCATATACACCTATTTCAAAAAACGTTGTCATCTCAACAGGCGACATCAATAGTGTTGAGACTGATTAAGGTGACTGCCTACTTTTGGAAAACGATTTAAACTTTTTTTAAAACTTCGATTTCCGAATTGAAATTTAATGCAGATTCTGAATACAAAAGAAAAATTGGGTGACCCGAGCTTGTTTTCGAGATAATCAGCATTTAATGGAAGCCTATGAGCGAGCTTTTGCAGAAGCAAAACTTGTGCCACAGGAAGTGATTAGAAAAAAATTAAGATTCATAAGATAATAGTAAGTTATTTGCAGACTATATGATTGCACGAATGAGGGCTAGTCAATCATTCTACAGTAATTTTTGACAACACGAAAAAGAGATACATTGATTTGTCATATTTTGTAGTTTCGGTGATCTTAAAAAATCTCATAAAGTCGAACAAAAATCCTTACAAAAATCTGATTTTTCATGTGTTAGAAATATAAACTTTTTCTAAAATGTTTATATAACCTAGATTTTTAGGAGTTTTTTCAAATGAGCTACCAAAAAATAGACAGTCCCGTGCAAAATTTGAGGGATTTGCTCTGTTGAAGCTCAAAACGTGTATGGTTCTTCAATTAACAAATAGATCAGGCTTAGCTATGTTCTGTTCTCTGATAAAACACGACTGGAGCTGTAGGACACGAAAATAGTTATAGAAATAACGAGCCGTAGGCGAATCTATCAAAGAAATTATTTATTTTTTAATCAAAAAATTTTTTCAACAGATTTTCATGTCAGAGANAGAYAAAATAGATCCAGATTGGTGTGGTTATGAATGTAAGTCAGGAGAGATTCTGTTCTACTATAACAAGACAACAGGAGAACACAGATGGGCAGGTGGTGAGCATGTAAGTCTAGACATTATCTCAAAGCTTTTTTAACCTACCCTCCAAAACTCATTTATTTGATAATAATTATTACAGCAAAACATGCAAAAGTATTGACCACACTTAATATATTTGCATACTTCTATGTATGAGGTTTTTGTATAATGAGCTTTTACATGTACGCACCTTGATTCTCTGATAGCTTCATGATGCCCTCTAACATTCCATAGAATGATGTACCAAGGGGCTCTGAAAATCTTGTAAATCAATTATGCAGCTGCATAAGTTGCTTCATATAGTGCAAGGATCAGCTCAATTCGATACATTATAACTGAAGTAAAAAATTATGTATATTTCATATATATTTTTTCATACACGATATTTTTATATCTTTCCTATCGGGCCGATAAACCCACCAGTGGTTAGAGCATGGCACCGTAGTCCAGGGCACAGGTTCAAATCCCGTTCAAGGCTTTCAATTATGATTCTGCATAAGCTGCTTCGTATACTGCGAGGATCAGCTCAATTTGATACATTACTACTGCAGTACAAATATATATTTGATATATATTCTCATGCTCATGAAAATTTCAATTATTTGAAATTTGGAATATCATGCCACTGGTAAAGCTTGTACCTCATTTGCATAAAATGCTGACAATGTCAATCAAACTCCAAATATGGTTTTCCTACGGCTTGGAGAAAAGAGTTGACCCAGGTACCCTACCCTACCCCTCCTGTTGGACCTGACATAACTTGATGCATCTACATACATAACAACAGCGGTACCCCACCCTACCCCTTGTGTTGGGCCTGACATAACATGATGCATCCAATCTCGTACCCAGAGCCTGAGTTTCTTCTGGTCTGCGGCAAAGAACGAGGGCTCTGGCATAATCCATTTTTGAGACCTGGATTTCTACTTTTACTATGATTTTCACTGTGAATTTTAGTTTGATTTAATTTTTACTTTGATTATTTTGATCGGTTATATTTCACTTTCCGAAAACTGCACATGCGCCAAATTATGGATTATGCCAAAGCCCAGCTAGTGCCCTCGTTCTTTTTCGCAGGCAAGAAGAAACGTGGGCTCTGGGTACAAGATTGATGATGCATCTAGATACACATTACTATAGCTGTACCCAACCCTATCCCTYGTGTTGGGCCTGATATAACATGATGCATCTAGATACACATTACTATAGCTGTATCCCACCCTACCCCTCGTGTTGGTCCTGATAAGAACATGATGCATCTAGATACATAACTACAGCTGTACCCCACCCTACCCCTTGTGTTGGGCCTGATATAACATGATGTATCTAGATACATAACTACAGCTGTACCCAACCCTACCCCTTTTGTTGGGCCTGGCATAACATGATGCATCTAGATACACATAACTACWGCTGTACTCCACCCTACCCCTCCTGTTGGGCCTGACATTACTTTGTATCATTTTCTAGGAATTTAAGAACGATTCTAGTCCATCAGTATCACAGGAGATMCAGTGTGCAAAGACTGATGACTGTGGATGTACTAATGGACAGACTACACAAACCAAAGGGAAACGTGTTAGACAAGGTACATCAACAATGCTCACCATATTTAAGGATTTTGTGTTTGACATTCATTATTTTTATTCTTTTAGTGTAAGTGACAAACACTTCCTATCCTTTATTTCTACAATCCACCAAGCACATCTATATATCTGTCATCGATCCATCCATACCATTTATCAATTCAAGGTCAAGTACTTATTTCTTGCCATAGGAGTAAAAAGCTTCAAAACACACCAGAACTGTTATATTTTACTATAGTCAGCTAGCTGTGTCCTCAGAAAAGGTCCGTAAGGGACAAAGGCTAATGACCAAAGATATCAACACGCTAAAAGATCCCTTAGTCATCTCTCTGTAAATAAACTCTACCCATAAGTGCTAGCGGACAACGACATCAACACGCTAACAGATCTCTTAGTTATCTTTCTTTAAATGGGCCCTATGGGTAATAGAAATATAATAATGATGATGATTTAAAATATCTTATTCAGCTCGCTGTAATTGAGCATGTCTGTGATATCCCTGTCTGCTAGCCACTAGATCTGCCCCATAGGTGTGACTTGCTGCCTTTACCAGACAAACGTTAACGTGGTTGTTATTTTCACACCTCTAATCAGTTCTTGTTTTGAATGCGATTTTTAGAAAACAGAAATTCATCGAAGGAAAGTGGTTACTTGGATGAGAAAGACGAGGAGTCGCAACCCAGTAAACAACGGTCGTTAGGAGAGCATGTCACTGAAACAACAGGAGGAGAAGGTGATAAAAAGAGAAGAAAAAGTAAAAATCCAAATGCAAAAACAAACAAATGCACGTACTGCAACAAAGGATTCGAAAAAAAACTTGGTCTCGAAAAGCATGAGCGTATCCATACAGGTGTSAAACCATACGAGTGTAAATACTGTAAAAAGGCATTTGCACAAAAAGGTGATCTAAAGTGTCACGAACGAATCCATACAGGAGTCAAACCTTACAAGTGTTCATACTGTGACAAGGCATTTGCACGTCAAACTAATCTAAAGACACATGAGCGTATCCATACAGGAGTCAAACCATACAAATGTACACAATGTAGCAAGGAATTTACTAGAAGCGATCAGCTAACTAGCCATAAACTTATCCATGCAGGTGTCAAATCACACAAGTGCACATACTGTGACAAGGCATTTACACAAAAATGTACTCTAAAGGAACATGAACGAATCCATACAGGAATCAAACCATACAAGTGTACCTACTGTGATAAGGCATTCACAAAACTAGGTAATCTAAAATATCATGAAAAMATCCATACAGGTGTCAAACCACACAAGTGCACATACTGTGACAAGGCATTTACACTCAAAGGTAATCTAAAGGATCATGAACGAATCCATACAGGTGTAAAACCATACAATTGTACATACTGTGACAAGGCATTTATACTACGAAGTACTCTAAAGGATCATGAACGAAGCCATACAGGAGTCAAACCATACAAATGTACACAATGTAGCAAGGGATTTGGACTCAAATGTAGTCTAAAGAATCATGAACGAATCCATACAGGATTGAAACCATACAAGTGTACATACTGTGACAAGGCATTTGCACGACGAGAACATCTAAAGTATCATGAAGGCACCCATAAAGGTGTCAAACCATAAAATCTAAACAACACAGAAAAACACGGTTTCAAAGCAGCGATTGAGAATGTTTTTAGAATAACACAGACAAGAAAGTTTTTTTTTTTCTTCATGTATTTGGATATTTCAATAAAAACTTTTGAATAATTAATTGAAGTTAATAAATTTACAATGTGGATATAATTAAATTAGTTGAATACTTTAATAAAAAAAATGGATGCTTGTGATTGACGATGTTCTCGTTCTTTCAACAAGAAAAGAAAAAAGTTTTACTGACAAGAAGCAAGAAAAGGATCGTGGATCATTCGATCCAGGAATTTGAGAAATGGGGGTCCGTAGAAATCTGGCCGTAAACTATGCAAAATAACCCAGAGAAACCGTGCTCAAAGGATAGCGGTGGCCTCTCAACAATGTGACGCGAGTTTGATTCCCAGTGAACACTATGCTGGTAAACACTTGGTCGTATTTGAGTAGAGGTGTTTGTTGGTTTTTTCTCGTGCTTCGAGGTGGCTGTTGTCTTGGTCACGCGCTTTCCTCATTGCGTAAAAATCAACTTATAAATAGTTCACTTCCAAGATATGCTTCGCTTGCCACACACAAAGGTTTTAGTAAGATGCTACGTGAGAAACTAATTTCATTATTTTTCTCCACGAATCACTGACTGCATAATGCACGAAGCAAAACTACGATGCAATCCTATCTAACTCGAATTTTGATTTATTTTATGCATGAAGCAGGTGGAAGGGAAAAGATTTTCATTCGGACTAGCTGGACAGGGCAATGATGGATGATTGCATGCATTGGTCATTAGATCACATCGAACTAGGCCTAGACCACAATATAAATAAGAGGGTAATGGGATGGCTTTATTTTACAGAAAAATTGATATCAGTTGAGGGGTATGATRATGATAGATGTTGGCGGTGACAATGATGAGTCTTATGGTAATGATGATGATAAGTGTGGTGCTGATGCATGGTGGTGCGGATGCTGATGGTGGTGGTTACAATGATGAGTGATGCTGATGATGATGAGGGTAATGATTATTGCTGATGTAGTGGTCAGGACAGCCTGGTGAGTGAAACATTTTATAATGGATAAGAAGTATTTAAAGTGCTTATGAATCCAAATGTTTACCCTGTATTTTACAATAAAATATTAAAATTTGTGAGTTTCATCATGGTACAATTTGTTTTCAAACTCAGCTTTTGAGAAAAAACATTTTTGCCTTAAGACTGTCATTAAACGTCAAAAAGCGTCTGAGACCTGGGACCTAATCTGCCTGTTAAGATAACGTCACTGAGAGGACTGCTGTGATTCTCTCAGTTAGATGACGTGTATATTTCTTGTT